AAAAAGGTTTATTAATTATGAAATAAAACTCACATTACAACACATTTTCGTGACCTAGCCTAAAAAATTGAACATTTACCTGTTTGAAATTGTATTTGTGCTCGAAAACCAGCTTTTTCATTCCTAATATCTGTTGTCATTCTCTCAGAGGAGCTGAACACCAAAACCATTCGTGGACCTGCGCTAGGATAAGGTCCTGACTTGTTAGATCCTTAAATTGTCATTGTAGAAACCTGTGATACCAGTTTTTTTTCAGTAACTCTAGTACCAATGACAGGCCAAAAAGGTTGGTTAAATTAAAATATATGAAGTATTATCAGGTTTTCAATCTTGTATTATAAGCACAATTTTGTACTTCATGTTAACAAAACAGTGTAGACTGTAGATGGTCTTGTAAAGGGCTCTTTTAACCGTTAGCTACGATAACTACTCCTCAGATAAAAGTCATAAAAAGGCTAGAAATGAAGTTCTAGTATAAAATTTTGTTGCCAAGCTAAAAAGATTTTCTTGAAGCGATAGCTGTAAACAAAGATAAATCTTTTATCAAAAGTTACCAGAAATAAATCGATCACAGAGCACTAAATCATAGGTGCTTTCATCAGTGGAAGACAAAACTGTTTTAATAGTAGCTTCTTGATAAGCGATACCCACAAATGAACCTGTACAACCATCTTCGTCACTTGTTCCAATTCGCTGAACTCCACTGAAATTGCTTAATAAGCATCAAAAGACGTAAATCTCAATAATTGAGTTCTGTGCTAATTGAAGAAAAAAAAAGTAAACAGAATTTAACAATTATTAATAAGTAATTACAGCAAACATGTGGAATAGGTGACAAACCTTATTTGAGTATCTGAGAAGACAGCAAAATATTCAAATTTTAGTGTAACTTTCTCGAGATCTTGTTCACCTTGTAAACCATCAATGATGTAAGTACAAGTTGTATTTGCAGGATATCCGTTTGGAAACTAAAAAAAACTTTGTTTTTTATTTAACTGAGTTAATGGTATAGGAAAGCAGTGTAAAAAGAATTTTTGGCATTAAAAACCTCAGGTGATTGTATGTAATGAGTCGATTCTTTGTTGCTTTTGACACGGACATCACATTCTGTTCCAATGATGTGGCTTACATGATCATCGTGATACCCATCTATTCTTGTCAACTCTTGTACGTTAACATAACGGTTTGAGAATTCGTATTCAATAACGTAACTAAAAGTAGAGCAATGTTGTACGAAGATGTTGTATTAGCAGGGAAACACGGTCTGCTAGAAACTGTAAAGCATCTTGAACAGGCAGAACATCATCTGAGAGCAATTTTTTTATAGAGAAAAAAAAGTTTATGAAAACAAACATTATTATTAGCAAAATAGTGCATTATAAACGTTATTGGTTTTAAACTTGCTTGACATTAAAAAAATGAAAAAAGTTTTAGACGACACGATATTTGCTACAACGCACTTTATTAAAAATGGCTATCAATAAACAGCAGCTTTTTTGAGCAAATTTTTTCAAAATGCTTAACATCCGGATTTGTTAGGCACAAGCAGTATTTCGACAAAAAAGTTTAAAGTGAGCTCAAAAAAATAAGACTGAAAATTCCTGGTATTTTCTTGAGCCAAAATTTTTTTCACATTGAAATTTAAAACAAATTTTTTTTACAGAGCTCCTCTTATTAGTAGATTTTTTGCATTAAACAAGTTTCTACACAACTGAAATTCTGTGTTTTCTAATTATCTAAGTCTTGTTATCAGTTGTACTAGTCTGTAACGTCTCAATTTTCTCTTTCTAATTTATCAATATTAACTCTCATAAAACTTTTCTAACGAATATAATGTCAAGCAAATCTGTTTGCTTCAGAAATCAAGAAAACTAATGTTGAGATTTATTACTAGTCATCGCTTACATTCTACCTC